AATGCTCTGTCTCAGTTGTAGCCCTCTGGATAGGAGGCCTTTTAGACATTAGAGAAACTTTATGACAGTTTTCAACTAAGCCTGGCTCTGCAAGGACCAATATTCCAGAGAGGACCCATTCCACTTTACTGCCCTGCAGAACAAATACGGGAAGGGGGAGGTTTGGGAACTGTGCATCCACCACCCCGCAATAAACCAAAACAAAAACCATAGAACAGTTCAGCAAAGACTAATTACTTTGTACAGCTTATTAGCACTCCAGCTCTAACCTATATACGTAAGTATATACTTGCAACACGCTGTTCTTTCTAAAACCAAGTTGGTTTATACGTACGACAGACTCGCATGGGACTGCCTACCAAGTATGTTGGACCATCCTTGTCTGCAATTGTTTGCAGGCACATCAAATGATATTCTTAGATGCCATATTACTGGATAAATTCTACTTTAGTGAAAGACTTGAAAGGAAACCTCTTCCTTATGGCAGATATGCAGAAAGTACAATAATTCTAAAGGAAGTCAAAAGTATTGTTTTCCACTATGTGTGTTATGTCACTTTCCAATAGCTATTGGTCATAACAGGATGTGTGACTTGAGATAGTGTTCGCATTAAAAGTACGAAGCACTCAATCAGTTTCATATGTGTCTAAGGCTACCAGCAGGAGTTGAGAGCATTTGTGCTTCTCACAGGAATTGCTTCAATTTGCAATGCAAAACCCATCAAGTTTTCAGTCAAACTTGTTAATGCTGTCACGTTCAGTCTATCTTTATGAAATAGTTGACCTGGATATTTATTTATCCTCTTGAGACTTCTGCTGCCATTGAGCTGCCTCTCATCATCAATGATCTTAATCCTAATTCTGTTCAACCGGGCAGAATTCCTCTTTAACCAGTTTCGGCCTATAGAATTATATTTTATGTATCATGATAGTAAAGACGTTACCCTAGGCCATCAAATTTTCGCCTTTAAATTGGAAAGTAGAGGTCTTACCTAGGATGGGGGAAGGGAACCAGATAGGCAACTTGTCTTTCAGTTAGCCTGAAGTATAGTATTACAAGAAACCATTTTGCTGAACAAGCGGTAAACATGACTGTCAGAATTTTATACAAGTTTTACTAAATGGTTATAAAAAAAGAATTAACTAAAAGGACACCTTTGTCTGCATTTGGCTTTAGGGTTCCAAATGATGATGACAGACTGCAGAAACCATTCAGGAATACTGTAATTTGGAGCCAGTCAGAGTAGCAAAATGTAGTGTCAGCCTTCAGTGCGTCAGTCCTGCTTGCTCGCTTCTCTCAGTGGAGTTACTCAGGTCAAGTGCTTTAATGATTACACATCTCGCTAGTTCAGGCCTTGCAACACATAGTGGGTGCACTGCCATCACCCTAGAGATAACAGACCAATACCACTGTCGCAGGCTTGCATTAGGCATATGAAGGGGGAAAAAATGAAAACAATTAAGTAGGCTAACAACAGGAAGTTTTAAGTAAGCGCTATACAAACCCTTCTCCCTGTACTTCAGAGCAATTCTGTCATTTATATGCTTACTGAAAGGAACCAAAGCTGTGTAGACTGCATCCTCTCTGAGGGATTAAGCCATGGTTCCGCACAGACCTCACATCTCTTAGGAGCTGAATTGTTCTGTTTCTAACAGGACTTGAGCCTTTACATACCTCTGTTGTGGGAAAAAAGTCATCCTGCTAAAAGCATCCATGCTCTCTACAACACTCAATTCACACCTATTAGCCACTACTTAACTTTGATGTCTCTTATGTTCCATACAGCAACTCCAATGTACTCAGCAGGGTGATTTTCAGTAGCCACTGCAAAGTGCTTTGCAGCACATCAAAAAGAGCTTCCTCGGCTTTTTTATCTCCCCTGACACTTGTTTAATAGAAGCTGGATTTCACTAGAGGGCACATCAGGAAAAGGCGGGGGGGGGGGGAAGCGTTTTGTGTGGTTTTTTCGTTGCTTGCTTGTTTTGTTTTTCCTTAGGCGTGGTTTACACTTCGTTTATGTAGCTGCCTGTATTAAAGTATTTCACATGAATACATTTACTGTAACACCCATGTGTGCTCTACGTGATTTAGAATAGAGGAAAAACATTGACTCCACTGTGAGCATCCTCCTGCCTCTACCCCGAAATCCTCAATGGGAATAGAAAGCATTTGGGACCATTCAAGTGAAAGAAACCCTTGACCACTGAAACAAATGGGAGTTAGGCAGAAAGAAACTGCAGCTCAGCATGGCAGTATTTAAGCCGTAGTGCTGTGGCTTCCTCCACCTAACAGAGCTCTAAGTTAGGTGGCTAGGCCCCATACACAATCCTCGGGGAGAAAAAAAATAGGTACCAAAGAATGGGATTCACAAAGTGCAGCCAACAACCTAGGTGTTTGCCCCAGCCCAGCTGCTGAAGCCAGCTAGACCTCAGCATCCTAGCTCATTCCTCTTCCTAAGCATAAAAGCTGTTCCCAGGATGGACACCACAGACTTCATTTCACAGAGTCTGGGCAAGAAGAGTTGTACCAGGGCAACACTTGCATTTTAGCTGTCATGCTTTACATAAAAGGGAGAGAATTAATTTTGTTCCTTCACTTATGCTAATAAGTTAGAAATGACAGGAGAGGTCTAAGAGTACCATACCCAGATTCATTTCCCAGGTCCAAAAATCAGGCAAGTAATGGAGCTGAACTAGCCTTCCATAACTGGTCAGTTTTCTGACAAGACAGAAAGTGGGACAACTTCTTTCTCCTGCTTCCTTAGTACAAGATCTGAGCTGAGGATGGCTTAGACACCAAAACTGAGACAAGGACTAACTGATAAATGAAAGATATAGAACTAGCTAACTTAACTGACAGCAACACAAGCACCTCCAGCATCAGTTGGAAGCACAAGGAAGTTGATCTCAATTTTGGGTTTAGGCAGAAACACTTGTGGTAAACTGTAATTCCGAATTCCCAATTCAGACACAGGGAGCTGACCCTGGGTGCCATGCAACATTGAATCTATGCAGAGGAAAAACCATAATCAACAGTTTTCATTAAGAATAGAAACCATATGTTTTGCTAAAAGAAAAAACAAAACAAAACAAAACGACACAACTGTTTCTTTTGGCAGTGAGAAAATACCCATTACCTTAGAGTTTTGTATCTGAAGGACAAAATTCAAAGCTCATTGAATTCATTTGGGGGGAGGGGAGGGGGAAATCGCACCACAGTGAGCTTTAGAAGGCCAAAGTAACTTGGGGGAGGGGGAGGTGGATTTAGGATAAGGGAACAAATGGCATATAATAAGCTTTGACTAATTGCCCATCCTAGTTTCTTCAAATTTCTTGTATGTCAAGCAGTTTTATTGCTTATAGGTAGCTTAGAGTTTATGCTCCCACCAGACACTCAAATTTAAGTACCTTTATGAATGTCAATAATAGTTATACAGCAGTGGGAAAATACATTCACTCAGCATTTCATCATGGAAGTATATTAAAATGCCTACTGTATGCCTGTCTGTCTAGTGAAGTAATCAGTGAAAATTGTATCTAGACTGCACATAGGCCTACCAAGGAGGATTTATGGGAGCCTCATGTTTTGAGTTTTGTGAATTATTCTAGAAATTACCTCCTTCTTACCCAAAGCCATATTTAAAACTTAGAGCTTTCAAACCTAACTCTGCATTTCATTGGCCAGTCCCAAAAATGTTTTTAGAAGTCGCTTCTCGGAGAAAGTACATACTAAGTATTACTGGTAGGAGAGGAGGAAAGGAGACCCCGCAGTCACCTGTCTGAATGAATCAGAACCTGTACTGAATGGCACGAGCTACCCTTGCCTGAGGAACAGCCTTCTCTGAAAAAGCAAACTCAGCATTTCTATGGGATTTATGCCAATATCCTTGTGATTATAACAGAAATCTAGCACAGTTACGACTTTCTGATGCAAGGTGTAACAGACTTGAACAAAACTGATGAGGTGGATTTTTTTTGTATGGGATTGGGTGGTGGTTTTTTTAGCGTTGTGTTCTTGGTTTTTTGGTTTTTTTAATAGCAACTGTTTTTTTCCCCATTGTACAAGTAAGTAATTTAAATGTGGCTGCTCTTTCTATACTTCAGCTGTACTAACCTGTACTGACTTACACTCAGTTCTTTCATTTGCAGATTAAGCCAGTAATTCTCTATTACACAAGTCTAGAGAAAGACAGACTTTCAGACTTCTGTGCAAATTACTCTACTCTGTATATCTTGGAAGACACTTCCCAGACACTAATGTGTATGAGTTATCTATTATCTCTATTAGACAGGAGAGAGCGTGAAAGAACCAACTGAAACCAGAATTAAGGAAAAAAAAAATGTAATTTAAGTCATCTACATATGATTTAATTGTAATTTAGGTGTATAGTTAACTGTGTGATAGCCCCAGTGATTTAAGATTTGCTGCAACTCAATGGTGAAGACAGGGCTTTAATATGGCAGTATTAAGCTGAGACTTTGGAACAGAGAATCAAAACTAAGGATTAGCAACCTGAGATTATAAAAGACAGGTCATTTCAGAATTCAAAGAATAAACAATTTTTTGCATTTTATCCTACATACAGGCACCCCTGGCCAAGGTACTGGTCCTCTTTTGCTTTTTTTTGGTGTTTCAGAGGTGCAGCAGAGCCACTAAGCTAGGTAACTGAAGCAGACAGGAAAGCTTTTGGCTCATGGTTAAAAAGCATGGCCAGAAACACAGCTCGATTCTAGAAACCCCATTTGCTGAAACGGTAACCAGGCAGTTGAGGCTTTTCTAAACCGCATCAGAGATTAAACCAGCCTGTGACAAAAGGAACCTTCACTCCAAATCCAACCTAGTGCATATCTTGTCTGTAACGGAAACATTTTTCACAGTAGCAGTGGACTTTAGTAGACAGACATTGGAATGTTCTCTAAGCTATTTTATCACACAGTAGCAATGTAGTACGTTCACAATGTTTAATCCAAACACTTCTTTTTTTTTCCCCATATTTAAAGGGAGGTCCAATCCAGAACCGAAAATCCAAGCGTTGCCTGGAATTGCAGGAAAACAATGAAAATGAATTTGGATTTCAACTCGTCCTTCAGAAATGCACTGGACAACGCTGGTCTATAACAAATGTCCTGAAAAGCTTGTCGTCATAGCAGACTAAATTTTTTACCCATTTCTTTTGCTACTGTGTAGCAAATACTGCATTGTTGCCTGCTGTACTGTATTCCTCTCGCCCCCCCCCTCCCCGATTCCTTCTCTCCTCTTTTTTGTCCCTTTGATTTTATTTTGTGAGTGTGTGGAAATTGGGTTTGTGGGCTGAAAATAAGATGTTTTTATTTCACAATGATGTTTTCATGGCATTTATAGAGACATTGAATGACAGGTGATGGGTAGGCTATCCTAAAATATTTTACAATTGTAAATAGGAAACAAATGGAGAATATTTATAACTCAAACTTTTATTGAATAAAAAAGTCCAAACACTATTACTGTCTAGCTGTCTCCGTGGAAATCAGTTTGGAAGTTAAGTGGTGGTCTCATTGTTTTCATTAACCCAAGCCTGATCTCGGCAAGTAACTGCTGAGAATCAGTATTCTCTAGACTTGTGGTAAAGAGTCCTGCCTGCACACTAGTAGCTACAGTGTGGGAGGGTTTTTCTCCTTTTTCCCTCTAGGGAGGCCTGTCTAGACCACTGTAGCTGCTAGCGTGCAAATACGGGTGCGGGGGGTGTGGAGGTGTATAATATGCACCCACATACTTTTCCTCATCAGTACTACTAAATAAAACCCCAGAGAGAACCCCAGGGCTTAACTGAGGCAGGGAAGAGAATTAATTAAAAAGAAGAAAAAAAGCTACAAGAGAAAAGCGGCCGCTACTGGAAGAAAAATAAAAAACCCCCAAACCTCTGACATTTCTCAATGGGTTGGGCTCCGTTTCAATGACTGCACTTCCTTTCCAATTGTTTGTAGTTCTTACGTCTTTTTTTTTTTTTTTTTAAAATGCGCTGTTCCCTGGGTCCCACAGACTTGGATAAAAATGGCTCCATCCAAGAGCAGCAGTAGAAAGTATGAATTCACTCTGCCTTTCTCCCTACCTTTAAGGAGGTGTGAATGCAATGCCCTATCACTTCATCTCAGCTAAGACTGGGATGAGGAGGGGAAGAAACAGTCTGATGAGATAAACCAGAACACTAGGATTACTGGCCTCTTTATTTCCAGCTGCTTTTATTTGTATGTAAATTCCCTCTCTTTTATTACTCTATTTGTTCTTTTTATTCTGTTGTTTGTTACCTTAACAGTCATAACCTCTTTTGGAGCTGGTTGTGTGCCAAACTGTCTTTTACAGACTGGCTTCACATTCAGGACCAGCTAGCAGTATTGTTCCTCATGACTGTTTAATAAGTCACGTGGCATGTTAATTATATGTGTTCAACCTTCTGCTATATATAGTTACTACACATCTGCTTCTCAGAGAAGAAAATGCTAAGCCAACAACAGGAAAACAGTAACAGCCAATAAAGACGGGCTTAACACCTGCACTTTGACCAACTTCAGAGGCCCCTCAGGCCTGTTTGAGTGAAAACTCCCATTAAAATTAGAACCCTGAAAGAACATCAATAACCTGAGTGTCAGGGTACCACAGCTGGACAAGATAAAGCAGCTTTAATTTCACTCTGTAGAGAAAACAGGAGGTTGCTACACAAGCGAGCCAATCCTCCTGCACCCTGGAGCATGTGCAGGTCCCGATGGGAGAGGGCTCAGTGCACAGCATGCAGAGCCATTTTGAGCATTCCCAAGTTCCGCCGCTGACCAACTGGACTTATTTTTCATAGGCATTCCAGGTGAATGAGGAGGAAACTGCACGTTCAGACAGAGAAAAAGCACAGAACTCGTACAGAGTAGCATGAGAGAAACTATGCTTCCTTTCAGCAAAGATACCAAGACTTCAGTGCATGGAGATGCAGCCATAAGGGAAAAACAAGTAGTATGGATCAAATCAGTCTCCTCCGATTCTTACAGACCTGCTGCACTGAGCAGTCACTTTCTGGGGGGGAGGTTTATGAGCACTAGAGGGAGATACCTGACAAAGACTTGACAAAAGTGAAAGGAAGGAGCTGAGCTCTGAACTGTTTCATTTCATACCAAAATGAATACTGTATGTCTACATACCCTAAGGTCTCAGAACAGATTTTCTTTTACATGTCCCTTGTCTTGGAAAAGAGAGGAAAACAGAGCAGAACAAGCATAACTGAAGGACGTAGCCATCTTTTGCTAGACGTGCTCACTTTTAGTCATGAATTGCCTCATTGCCACTTTCCTTTTCAGATACACAGGAATTACATAGATACAGCAGCAGTGCCTCACACTGTAAAAGACAAATAATCACCATACTAAGGGAAAAATAAAACTCATCTTCACTTTCTAGAACATTACAGAATATTGTTCAATCATCAGTTGCCTCAAAAACATCCCTAAATCTGCTTTACCAATAGCTGTTTTTGTTTTTAAATTGTTTTAAAGAGGGAAAGCTAACACTTAAGGGCAAAAAAGGACACTGTTCCAGAAGTCACGTATCTCCTCACCCGAGTATGGTCAGAGATGAAGACGACCAGAAAGATCCAGTCAGCTCCCTCTTCCTCCTGCTGCTATAGAACTGCTCCCAGTATATTTTGATGAGGTTTTCTTGACAAGTAACAACAGTGTATCTACTAGCTGATAAGTATATACTGACAATTAAACGAAAAACAATTTCAAGCAACCCTAAGCCCTCCTCCTACTGTATTTCTTCAAATATTATGGATAATATATACTTATTTTCCTCTATCTCCTCAGTTTGATCATTCAGCCAAATTGTTCATACCAGGATATCATCTACAGTGGTTTCTCAAGGCTGTAAGAATTCCACTGTCTTCTCACACCATCTGCATGTGGGGCAAGGCACCAGCAACAAGGAGAAAAGGAGCCATGCTGACAACATGAGCACAACATGCAGAAAAGAACACTTTCATGTCTTTGGGGAGAAGATATTAGGGCTTGGCTTCTATCGGAGATCCATAGGTATATTTCTTGAGCTGGGCTGTACAGTCTTCAGAAGAGATCCAGGTTCTACATATTTGTTTTTACAAAGCTAGAGGTATTCAGGAGCATGGAGTACAGACCATACCTATTCCTTCCCAGCTAGAACTCTGACCAGAGAATTCCAGAGTGCCTTCACCTGCCTGGTCTTTCCAGGCTTGCTAACATCTGTTGGGAGTGACTGTGCAGAATAGGGCTTAGCATTGTCCTCTTTTGCTATGGAAGAGGCAACTATTTTTGGTTTCCTCTTTTTTGAAAGAACAAAATTTAATCTACCATCAGGCCTGAGTTGTACTATCTTCTGTGTCTTCGCTAAAAAGAAATTAATCAGTCAACTCCCTTCATTGAGCCTTTTTTATATATATTGATCAAAAGGCAGTTGTAAAATGATAATTAAGCAAGCAGCTGTCACATGTCATTCTATACTGGGTAGCAGTGAATGCTCAGCTGGAGATACAGAGAAAGGAAACACTGAGATTTCAAGGTCACACATCAATAGAATGCACCACAATTTTGTTTACAACCTAAATTGTGTGTGTGTGTATATATCCCTACACCACCAAATATATATATACATATATGAAAATTTATATATAAAACATAAGCATGCACGTACACATGCACATACTGACTGCTTTACTGGCAAAAAAAAAATCATCCCTTTAAAGTGCACTTCATCCAACCACAGTCTTAAAGACATGGAAACAAGACACCGAAATGAAAGGTTTGGATCACAATTTTATCACTGTGCTATCCAGAACACCTTCAACACTACTTCTGTTTTTAACACAGACATAAAACCAGAATATAACTTCATCATATTTAAATTTTTCTTCAAAGAACCGTTAAAGGTTTTCCACAGGGTTAAGTCAGCATAACTACTCAAAACTGGAATACAAAATAGTTGTGCTAATACAGAAGCTCAGTAGGCAATCATTAAGGCTTTTGAGTAACAGTGTATTCTCCACTGATCTGCTGTAGTGTTTCTTAAATTCCCTCGACACACACTTCACTTTTATCATGAAAATACTTAGAAGTGCAGAACATGATGCTCAGGAATGTCAGTCACAGCTATATTCTGAAACAGCAAAGCAATGTATTTTTGTTTATTGACTAAAACTATCTTTGCATTGTCAGGTGGAAGTGACTATTTTACCTGAATTCAGTCTTGTTATGCGTAGTCTCAGAAGGGGATCTTTGTGATAAGGCATCTGAAAACTTCTTTTAACACCACAGAAATATACTTTTCATCATAATATATTATTTCCAGTGAAGCAGCCTCATTTGAAGTGCATATATTATAGGACAGAATTTTCCAGTTAAAAGAATATAAATATTTCCATCTTACAATATGAAAACAACAAATATATATTACTTGCAAAAGGCCAGAGGTAAATGCAATTTTCATTCAGCTTTTAAAAGGAAGAATGATTCTAAGGCAACTCTGAACTACAGTTTAGAAGGTGACGACTGCTCAGATCTAAAAGAAAGCATTAAGAGGTTAAGTCCATCCTTTAAACTCTGCTGACATCCTTAGTCAGTGGTCCTCCATGTGGGCAGTATGGATTTTTTATAAACAACAGCACACAAAATTTTTAAAATACCGACGCTTTCTTACTACTAGAAAGCTCTACAAAATCCTATCTCTTCTGGCAGCTAAACTTGGGTGTCCCATAACCCAAGTCCACAGCTATCCAGCAATCTCTTGCTTACTCATTTATCCACAAAAGGGAAGTCACTCTGTCCAGCTGAATCCAGGGAGCTATTCACACCTCAGCTTTTGAGGACAGGAAAAGGCATCTCCTTGGCCAAAGGCAGCAACTTGGTAAATCCGCAGTAGCGTAAATCTGGTTCCCAAACCTCAAGCACAGCATAGAGCACACTGGCTGCAGAGGTTTGCCACCTCTCAGCCAGGCCAGAGAATGAAGAGAAAGCTCTTGTCAGCACACACAAAGGATACCATAAGCCTCAGCTTGTCAATTTGGCTAATATAGTTCTCTTAACTTCTCTCATTGTTAATATCACTTGTATCTCAGTGTCTTATTTCCCCATCTTTGCTTGCTCTAGTACTGGCATACTAACAGTTAACCTCAGGAAAATCTGTTCATTTTCTGAAAAAAAAAGCGAATGAAATACCTGTATTTAAAGTGCCCATATGTGACAGTGATTCTCATACCAGTTGTGAATGTTTTGCTGCAGATTACATTTCAATTCAAAGAAACCACCAAAGGCTACATTCTTATCTTCAGCCTCTGTTACTAAGTGTTTTCTGTGTATCATATTTTTTGTTATTTACCGTTATTTTATCATTTTCTATATTCTCCTAGACATTGTTCAGCTATATAGCGAAGAGTACGTCTTTTACCACTTGAGTTCCTAATGCTCTGGAAAGGCTCACAATTAAAAAGGAG